TCCCCAGTAGGAGATGTGCAGGAGGCAGCTAATCGATGTTTCTCTCTCATCGATGTTTCTTTTTTTTCCTTCTTAATATATATTTTTTAATTGATTTCTTACAGAGAGGAAGGGAGAGGGATAGAGAGCTAGAAACATCGATAAGAGAAACATCGATCAGCTGCCTCCTGCACACTCCCTATTATTGGGTATGTGCCTGCAACCAAGGTACATGCCCTTGACCGGAATCGAACCTGGGACCCTTGAGTCCCCAGGCCGACGCTCCATCCATTGAGCCAAACCAGTTAGGGCTCATCGATGTTTCTGACTCTCTATCCCTCTCCCTTCCTCTCTGTAAAAAATCAATAAAATATGTTTAAAAAAATAAAATAAAATAAAGATCCAAAAAATATAGGTACCTTCCTCATTTTCCTACCTTCTTCCACAAAGCTCCTTTAGTCAAAAATTCTTTCAGTATAATTCTAAAATTACTTTTCTACAAGAAAAGCAGTTAATTTCTCCTAAATTTTTATTTTGAAAATACTCATACTTATCTGAGTTGGGAGGATAATACAATGAACATCATTTGTCCTTCATCTATATATCCCAACTATTTAAGTAGAATGTGTTATGTATATCATCTACATGACACATCTGTTCTTGTGCTTTTCCCCCTTTTTTCTTATGCTTGTTTTAGAGTCCAGATCTTAAAAACAGGTGCTATGTGTGTTTTATCACAGCAAAGTCAAGCCAAGGTGCCTAATTTAAAAAGCTTTCTAATCCTATATAATAAAAGGATAATATGCAAATTGTCCCCTTGACCAGGAATTGGACCGGGAGTTCAACTGGGAGTTTGACCAGCGGGCAGGACTGGCCAGCCAATGGCCCACGGTCCTCCCCCTAGCCAGCCCCTACCTGAGCACAAATTTGTGCACCAGGCCTCTAGTGATATATCATGATTGTATCCATTTACTAAAACTCACTGAACTACACATTTAAAATGGATATTTAAAAATTACAACATAATTAAATATTATGTTGTAAAAACCAACATAATATTTAAAGTATTCTTTTCTGAAGCTGCCAAAAGAAATATGTATATTTGAAGATTTACTGAAAAATACTTTTTAATATTATGCAAGTTTTTCAACTAATGATATTCAGAGCTCTACAGGATACCTTTTATATACTGTAATGTATTTTCTATCAAGTGGCCAATCAAAATAAGCCTAATTTTACTGTGATATTTTTCAGTGGTCAATATAAAATTAAGAGAGTCCTGGCCAGGTGGCTCATCCCATACACCAAAAGGTTGCAGGTTCAGTACCCGGTCAAGGTATGTAAGGGAGGCAACTGATCTATGTTTCTCTCTCACATCGATGTTTCCCTCTCTCTCTCTCTCTCTCTCTCTCTCTCTCTCAATAACCATATCCTCTGGTGATGATTAAAAAAACAAAAAGGAGCCCAGATGGTGTGGCTCATGGTTGAATATCCACCCATGGACCAGGAGATCACGGTTCGATTCCCGGTCAGGGCACATGCCTGGGTCGCAGGCTCCATCCCCAGTGGAGGGCGTGCAGGAGGGAGATGATCAGTGATTCTCTCTCATCACTGATGTTTCTAGCTCTTTCTCCCTCTCTGAAATCAATACAAAAATATTAAAAAACCAAAAAGTAAAGAAAATTAATATTTGCATTAAGTTATTTTATTGTTTTATTCAGTTACCCCTAGCTTCTATACATGTTCGCTCTGGCTCAGAGATTAAACTGATAAAATTAAAGGGAGACATACCAGTTTATCAATTTTCCAGGTTTGGTCAGTATTTTCCTGGTTTTAGCCCTAAAAGTTTTATATCCCAGAAATCCCCTTAGTCACACACAAAGCAGGACAGATAGTTATCCTATACTTAATTTTGGCCTTCAGTGGGCCAGACAGAGTTCTGCCAGGCTTCAGCTATGCCCTGTCAGAAAGTCCAGTCTCCCTAATAAACTACCTAGATTCAAACGCATAAGTGACCTCTGTAGCAGGAAGATGAACTATGAAATCAGTATAATGCAGTGAAGAGTTTCAAACATAGTTTAACAGATCTGGCCCAACAGCTTGGCACCATAATTTACCAGCTATATGACTTTAACTTTTCTCAACTTCTGTTTTCTCATAAGTTTCAAACAGAAAAAGGTTAACAACAACATCTACCTCAGAGAGCTGCTATAAAGACTAAGACAATATAAGTTAGAGCCTGACACAAAGCCTGGTTGCCACAAAGCATTCAATAAAAGTTATCAATCTGTGAAGAATGCACCCTTAGGAAAGAACATTTCCTGTTATAACAAGTCACTAAATCTGCTTCATCTGAGTTTAGTTCATCACATATTTAATGAATGCTAGGCAATGTTCTAAGTGCTAAGAATACAAATATGATGGTCATTGCTTTCACAAGCTCAGGCTTGTTGTAGAGAATTCCACTGCTGGGGTTATAGATGCAGGACTTTTCTTACCAGCAGCTTAATCTTTCTTTAGGTTTGTTTCACTGCCATCATCATAAAGAAATATATCAGCTTAAAAATCACCTCAGCAAAAAAGCATAGGTCACCACTGAAAAGTATGTGTGCCACTGTATAAAGGAAAGCGTTATCACAATAGTGCCAATTGCTGAAGGAGTTGGAAGCATTTCCCTCTGGAAATGAGTGAAACATCTGTGACCTTCATAAAATGATTTAAAGAAAAGTGTGTGTTGCTTTTATGTCACATAAAAGTAGTTACAAAGTTGCATCTAAGGACTAATAGTATCACAGCATCTAATTTGTATCAAATACCTGAAGAACTACAGGATTAATAACAATTCTCTTTAGCAAGACAGGATTCTTTTAGAACTAAACTCTTTCTAGATCACAGTAGATAGCTAGTAACTACAATGCCTAATATTTGTATAAGGCTTAATGGTCAGTATAACACTTTCACACACAGGTCATTTGATCCTCAGAACTACTGTTCTAGTATAAAGAGGGTAAAGATCATATTAAAGAAACGGGGGTTCAAAGGGGTTAAGTGAACTGCCCAATAGTACGGGGATTCACAGCTAGAACCAAAACATTCTGACTCTATGACGGCATTTTGAATAAATTACAATGCAATTTCACTAATCTGTACCCCAGTGAGAAAGATATGAAGGTATAATATCTCATTCACTGGTGCATGAGGAGTTCAAGGAAATATTTTATGTATATGTAAATATATAAATTATCTATCTATATATACAAAAGCCTAAGTGACGGAACAACCAGAACGACAGGAACGACTGGTAGCTATGATGCACACTGACCACCAGGGGGCAGACGCTCAACGCAGGAGCTGCCCCCTGGTGGTCAGTGCACTCCCACAGCCAACTTCCCCTGGTCAGCCAACCTCCTGCGGTCCTTCCCACCCGGGTGACCAACCTCCCGTGGTTCCTCCCCTGAGCCAGCAGGCCCTGATCACCAGATCGGGGCCGGGCCCCAGGGCTGGACAGGGAACTGGGGGTGGGTGGTGGTGGTCACGGCCCCTTTCCCAGGGGGGCCGGCAGCCAACCTCCCATGTCTTGTCTCTCCCCCATGGTGGCAGCGCGGCGTCGAGGGAAGGAGGTGGTGGGGAGGTGGGGAACCCGTGGTAGTGGGGTTCCGGCGTCAGCGCCTGGTCTGGCGACCATAGCCTCCTCTCCGGGCCCTGGACTGGGATGGGGAACCGGGGGTGGGTGGCGGTGGATGCAGCCCCTTTCCCACGGGGGCCAAGGGCCGGCTCCTTTCTTGGGCTGGTGGCCAACCTTCCACACCCTGTCCCTCCCCGTGGCCGGCAGGCCCCGATCAGCCCGGCCCTGATCAACCCTAATCGCCAGCCAGGCCTAGAGACCCCACCGGTGCACAAATTTCGTGCACCGGGCCCCAATATACATATATGTATATTTTAAAATTTCTAGCACATTGTGAAACCATTACAAATGAAGTATCGTAACTCCTTTGGAGAGACATGACATATTTATGCTATTTAGACTTTGCATTTAGAAAAGGTTTCTCCACTGATCCAAGCTTTCTTTTATCTCTTAGAAACACACAAGTCTCTTGTTAGTTTGTTGTTGTTTTTTATGTATGTTTTAAAGTAATCTGATGATGATTGCTATAGTAAAAAAAATTGGGCTAAGACAAAGGACAGAATCACAGGGTCTACAATTAGCACTGCAGCCCCTAGCTAAAGCTCATTATCCATATAGGGGACGATACTTCCTCCTTAGTGTCTTTAGGCTACCCTCACATGTAGCTACCAGGACGCACTATTAATTGTCTTACACTCAAATCTCAAAGGTAGAGTAGCAGTTTAATGTTCCTATTCTGTTATTTCACAGGGGGGAAAACTTTAACTTAGCAAGAATTACTAACTCCAGGGGAGAAAAATCAATTGGTATATATAAAATAAAAGCTACTTTTATTTTTTGTACATCTTTTCTTTAATTGATTTTTTAGATCCCAAAGTGACATCAATTCCAATCTCTTCACTCCCTATAGGAAAAATGAAGCATAAAAAGTTTGAGAGATTTGCCTAAATCACAGAGCTAGTTAAGAGAAGAGCTAGGTTAATATTCAAATCACTTGGACCAGTGGTTTTCAATTGCAGACCCCCCCACCCCCCCATCCCTCTGAGGGGATATTTGGCAATGTCTGGAGACATTGTTTGTTTGTCATACTGGGAGAGTACAATAGAAGCCAGGGATGCTGCTAAATATCTTCCAATGTATAGGACAGCTCCTCACAACAAAGAATTAACTGGTCCAAAATAACAAAAAGTGTTGAGGTTGAGAAACCCTGATTAGAGCTACGCTTTGCCATTATCTAACTAATCAACATTTTACTTAATATAAGTATTCTGAGAAAAATAGTGTCAAAATAGGTCATTTCCTTATAGTCAAACATTCAGGCAGATTTAAGGGTCTAGTATATTTTATTTCTTGTGAGACAGAATATGACAATTAAAAAAAAAAAGAACATACTCACCAGGAGCCAAAACCCAAGGGTCTCCTATCATAATCTGGCAGATCTGGAGCAATCTTACAAGCTTGTATGTTCAGGTACTTAAATATGTGAATTTTGCCTTTTATGCATATCTAAATAAAGTAACACATACATGCAATCAAATTGTTACTCATCTGAAATGTGTCCCTTTTTTAATCACAATCAGCTTTTTACTTAATGTATATTGGAAACAGAAGGCATTTCTATTAAGTACAAATACTAAAAATCTAACACTCATTTTTAACAAATTATATTATTTGTTATTTTAGGTATTTAAATGATATAAATATAGGCTCTATTTTCTAGATACTAATAAGTCTCAGTGACATATAAAATAATTTATGATTACAAACAGAATATCAAGCAAATTTATTATTAGTTAGGCATAGTCAGGAATTTAAAGCATTGCTCCCACATGAATTATATTAGCAACTTTTGCTTTTAGGAATCCAACAATCATGTACTATTATGTTCTCCATTGTACATTCTGTCAGAAAGAAAAGCAGGAAATGTTTAAATATTAAAGCTATATATATATCTGTTGCTACTTGTTGGCTTCTGTCCCAGAAGTCAAAACACAAAATCTTTAGGATTATGAGACCCTTCTATAGTTATGTGTTTACTCATAGGGAAGTTTTATAGTTGCTATACAGAGGCTTGTACCATCAGTTGATTGTAGAGTAAAAAAGCTACAGGTTGGTAAATATTTTTTAGATTGTACAATGTTTAGAATATATATGTAACACTACCCATAATTACTTTATTTAAAATAATTTCATTTCAGTCACTACTAAGCAAATGACCAAACTAAATAAATAAAGGAACTTAAGATTTTAGAAAACAGGAAGGTACAAAAACACTGGTAAGAAGAGATGTGCTGATAGTCATTAGTTCTGAAAGCTAAGTATTTTTATTTGTCTCTAGATTCAAATTTTACCAGAAAAAAATTAACTCAAATTTCATTAGAAAAAACTTTACAGAAGAATCCCGCAAGTTTTTTAAAAAGTCAATTTAATCAAAGGAAAAAACACTTCTGGACACTGTATCTATCTTCCACACTATTTAGTCAAGGCTTCTAACGAATACATAAGTGTATGCATTTTAAAAGAACTTAATTTCCAACAGAAAGACAAATGCATAAAGTTTCATTCTTGGCGGGGGGGAAAAAAAAGGACACATATGTAATACCCTTTGTAATGCTTTAAGCAATAAAAAAAAAATAATTAAAAAAAAAAGTTTCATTCTTTGCCGAAAAAGTTCATAACATACTTCAAATAAACGATGATTTACCTGTGCAGGAGGAGACTGTAATGGATTGTTATCTAGGGCAATCATCTGTAGGTGCTTGAGGTTCCGATAACAAACAGGGATTGCTGTAATTTTATTGCAGGAGAAGTCTAACCGTATCAAAGGCAACTCTGCCAGCTCTGCAAAGAGATAAAATGGAAACGAACAATTAATGATATTTCAAAACAAGACAATTTTGACAGGAGCTTCTAGTGAAATATAGTGGATTTAATATAAGTATTTACTTCCATTCTTTCTTAGTGATTAAGTGATATAGCAAAAGTGGTATAAAATAAAATCTAGATGCTACAGACAGGAATACTAATGAAAGCAAGCTGTTTGACTCCTCACAGAACTACAGAAAGTTGAAGGCCTGATACCAGAGAAAGATGGGGATAACAAAGGGATCAGATGATAGCCTGTATAAAGAACAAGTTTGAGATGCACAGGTTTCCATACTGTAGGAACAGAACCAAGATCCATTAAAAAAACCTGTGACCTGACTACCAGGAGCTGCAAGGTATCTCACTTTTCACTCCTGGTAAAAACCCTTCAAGGTATTTTATTAACTTCCTTAAAACTAGGAAGCTTTTGGTGACTGTATGATCATCTAAAAGATATTACTGTTCAATTAAGGTATATAGGAAAAAGGAAATTTTCTGAAAAGTGAAAAAACAAACATGGGAAGGTTTCAAATTGGGTGAAAGAAATCAACATGAAAATGCATATATGATTCCATTTATCTGACATTTTAGAAAAGACAAACTATGGAGAACAAAATAGGAGGTGAGGGGTGAGTGTAATTTTAAAAGGGAGCTTTTTTTTGAAGTGATGGGATATTTAGGTATCTTGACTGTGGTGGTAGTTGCATAAAAAATAAGTTAAAATTCATGGAACTGTACTATACCCCCCTAAGAAGTCAATTTTACTATATGATAATTTTTAAAAAGTATTTAAAAAAAAGGTGTAAAACAATTTTCCAGAACTAAAGATGTGAATCTCTGGTTTGGAAAGAGGCCCACCAAGTAAAAAAACTCATACTATGGCACATCATCATAACTTTCAGAGCATATGAAAAAAGGGAAGATCTTAATTAAAATCTTCCCGAGAGAAAAACAATGTGTCACAAATAATGGACTGGAATTAGGAATAGCATCAAATTTTCAACCATTAATTTTTAATACTGAAAGCTAAAAGTGAAAAAGACCTGAAAATCCTGAGAGGAAATAATTTTCAATCTAGAATCTATAACCAAATTATTAATGAAGGGTAAGTATAGAATAAAGATGTATCTTTCCAAGTGAAGTATCAAAAAATGTTTTCCTAAAATAAATAAATAAATATAAAAATAAAATAAATAAGAAATCTATTTAAAAAATGTTTTCCTGCACTGGCCAGCGCTGCTCAATGGTTAGAGTGTTGGCCTGTGCACCTAATTGCAGGTTCAATCCCTGGGCACATGGAAGGCAACCAATCAATGTACCTCTCTCACACTGATGTTTCTCTTTCTCTCTCTCTCTGCTCCTCCTCCCTCCCTTGCACTTTCTCTAAAAATCAAAGGAAAAAAATAGTCTCATTCCTCAATGAGGATTAAAGAAAAAAAAGTTTTCCTATAACACATTCTCAAGAAACTACTAGAAGATGCCCTCCAGCAAAATGAGGAAGTAAGAAAGAGGAATTATTTGTCAATTATACCTTAATAAAGCTGAAATTTTAAAAAAAAAAGTAATAAAGAGAAAGACATGGAATCCAGGAATAAGAGTATTCAATACAGAATGAAGAAAGCTGGGCAGCAATAACAGAACAACCAGTCCACATTGGAAGAGAAGGAATAAAGGCTCAATAGGGAGATATGCAGGGAATAAAAAAAATGATAGGTAATCTCATTGGTTTGACTAATAAGGATGCTGGAAAAAGAGGGAGGAATTAACCATAGTTACCTAAATAAGCAAACAAATGAAAAGAAACAAAGAAATTACTAACTCTAGAAAAAAAACAATAAAAATAAGATACACAAGGAAGAAAATGAAATCAGAGTACATTATTTTAATTGGCAGGGAACAATATTTATATCATTATAATAATGTACACAATGAATAACAATTTAATCGAAAGTTGTGATAAAAATCACACTGTGAAAATACGAAGAGGGAAGTAAAGATATAATGGTAATAATGTAAGGAAATTAAATCCTCATCTACCATTACAGAAAACTAACATCTGTCAAAGTTGATAAATCCAGCAATAACTGTAAAAGCACATAATTAGAAATATGTCAACAAATACCAGTAAAAAGTGTCAAGGGAATTGAAGGTAGGTACTTCTGGCCCTTTAAATTGGGGAAGGGGATAGTTTGAGGCAGGGTAAATGCTATTATTTATTTTAAGCTTTTCGATATTATTTGTATACTAGGGGCCCAGTGCACGAAGATTTGTGCACAGGGGTGGGTCCCTCAGCCCGACCTGCACCCTCTCCAATCTGGGACCCCTCAGGGGAGCCCTCTCCAATCTGGAGTTTCTATTTGTCTTTGCAATCATATGAGCAAATTGTCTGAGACCCCAACCCAGTTTGGTTTGGTGCTCACAGAATAGTAGAGGTCTTTTTTTTTTCTTTGCTCCATTGTTGGAGATTTCCTGGAAGTTGCAGGATATCTTCCTTTTAATTTTTCCTCGACACTCTGACTTTACTTATGTTTCTCACCTTTGCTTTCCCTCCATCCCCCACCCGCAACAGTAACTTGCTCCAGGCTCACTTTGCTCGCAGCGGTTCGCAGCCTGTGGATTGCGACCACTGGAAAACACATATAGCATCCTAAATAATAATAGTCAAATTTGGTAATTGACCGTACCTTTGCTACGCCTCCCATTGGCTAATCAGCAAGATATACAAATTAACCGCCAACAAAGATGGCAGCTAATTTGCATACTGCAGGCAGGGCGGTACAGCGCCAGCCGCCAGCACCAGCCGCCATCCAGGCCCCCGTGGGGGACGCCAAAAGCCGCTTGCCTGCCACCCGGGACCTGATCCGGTCCCAGGCTGCAAGCCCCAGAAGCCGCCAGATATAGCAGTAACTCTATCAGTAAGCACTCTGAAAGTCAGTGGCATAAATGCACCAATTAAAAGACAGATTATGAGGGTGAATTAAAAACAAAACCCACTTTAAATATAAAGACACATATAGATTAAAAGTAAATGAATTAAGCTGCAGCCTGTTTTGCTCAGTGGGTAGAGCCCTTGGACTGAAGGGTCCCAGGTTAGATTCCAGTCAAGGGAATGTACCTCAGTTGCTGGCTTGATCCCCAGTCCCTATCAGAGCATGTGCAGGAGGCAACCAATCAATGTGTCTCTCCCTTTCCCTTCACTCTCTCTAAAATTCAATGGAAAAATATCCTTGGGTGAAGATTAACAAAAACAAAGTAAATGGATCAAGTAACAGTAAAGAGATTATAAGAAAAATATATTCCAAATTTTGTTAGTTGTATAATGGTTATGTTTAAATTATTTACACCTAAGAAACTGGGTGAAGGGTAATACAATATGCTGTAGTATTTTATAGGATTTTTTACATGTATGAGATTATTACAAATTAAAATATTAAAAAATTAAAAATTAATAAAATATTAATTGAAATGTATCTGCATTACATGAAAAATCTCCTAATTGCTTCTAGCATAATTTATTAAATTGTGCTAAAATTTACAAGGGTTCAATTAAAACATATCTTAATTCTAAATGATATCATAGAAAATATATAATAGTGCAGTTATAAGCACTTATCTGAAAATAAAAATTTAAAGAAATGAATTTAAAGAAGGGATTAGCCAAAGAAACTATATGCACAACCCATGGACACAGACAACAGTATGGTGATGGCCAGAGAGAAGTGGGGGGCAAGAGCTGGGTAGAGGGGGCAAAAGGGGGGAAATAGGGACATCCTATCTACACTAATAAAAGAGAAACATGGTAATTAGCGTACGACCGCTACCCTTCCCATTGGCTAATCAGCATATCCTTATGCAAATTAACTGTCAGCCAAGATGGCGGCCGGCAGCCAGGCAGCTGGAAGCGAACATGAGGCTTGCTTGCTCCAGTGACTGCAGACTCCAACGTTCCCCGCCTGACTTGCCGGCCTCTGAGTTGCAACTCTAAGCAACTATGTACTATGTTGCAAATAAGAAGCTAAACAAAACCCCAGAAACCAGCTTTCAGCCTGCCGGGATCTCAGAGCTGAAGTTATACATTGTTTCGATTATAGAACGGCAAACAAACCAGATACGAAGCCTCAGAGCTAGAGCCAGAGCTAAAGCTGGCCCAGAATAAAATTAAAAAAAGAGAAAAAAAAGGAGCGGTTGGGAGCTTCAGTCAACAACCACCAGCCTGTAAGCAGCCCTCAGCCCCTCACCCAGACTGGCCAGGCACCCCAGTGGGGATCCCCACCCTGAAGGATGTGTGACCAGCTGCAAACAGCCATCATCCCCTCATCCAGGCTGGCCAGGCACCCCAGTGGGGACCCCCACCCTGATCCAGGACACCCTTCAGGGCAAACCAGCCGGCCTCCAGGCCTCTATCCTATATAGTAAAAGGGTAATATGCCTCCCAGCACCGGGATCAGCAGAGCCGCGAGGCCTCCTGGCACCGGATCAGCATGACAGGGGGCAGCGCCCAAACCCCCTGATCACCCTGCGGCTCTGTGTGTGACAGGGGGCGGGGCCACAACCTCCCTATCCGCCCTGGTCTGTTCGTGACAGGGGAAGGCGCCCCAACCCCCTGATGGGCCCTGCTCTGTGTGGGACAGGGTGCGGCGCCCCAACCCCCACCCCTCCATGGGCCCTGCTCTGTGTGTGACGGGGTAGAGCCATAACCTCCCCATCGGCCCTGTCCTGAGTGTGACAGTGGCGGTGCCCCAACCCCCTGATCGGCCCTGCTCTGTGGGTGATAGAGGGCGGCGCCCCAACCCCCTGATCCGCCCTGCTCTGTGTGTGACAGGGGGCGGTGCCCTAACTCCCCTATCGGCCCTACTCTGTCAGTGACAGGGGAGAGCTCCCCAACCCCCTGATCAGCCCTGCTCTGTGCGTGACAGGGGGGAGCTCCTCAACCCCCTGATCGGCCCTGCTCTGTGCATGACAGGGGGGAGCTCCCCAACCCCCTGATGGGCCCTGCTCTGTGCGTGACAGGGGGTGGCGCCGCAACCTCCCCATCAACCCTGCCTTGAGTGTGACAGGGGGCGGTGCCCCAACCCCCCAATCGGCCCCACCCTGAGCGTGACTGAGGGTGGCATCGCAACCTCCTGATCCGCCCTGCTCTGTGCATGACAGGGGGTGGCGCCCCAACTCCCCAATCAGCCCTGCTCTGAGCCCAACCAGGGGCTGCACCTAGGGATTGGGCCTGCCCTCTGCCACCCGGGAGCAGGCCTAAGCCAGCAGGTCGTTATCTCCTGAGGGGTCCCAGACTGCAAGAGGGCACAGGCCGGGCTGAGGGACCCCCCCCCACTCCCCAAGTGCACAAATTTTTGTGCACCGGGCCTCTAGTATAATAATAAAAGGCTAATATACAAATTGACTGAATGGCAGAATGGCTGGTTGCTATGATGCGCACTGGCCACCAGGGGGCAGACGCTCAATGCAGGAGCTGACCCCTGGTGGTCAGTGAACTTCCATATGTGGAGTGCCACTCATCCAGAAGTTGGCTCATGGCTGGCCAGTGCAGAGGTGGTGGCAGGAGCCTCTCCCACCTAGGTGGCAGCACTAAGAATGTCCAACTAACGGTTTAGGCCCAATCCCTCGGGGGCCTAAGCTTTTAGTCGGACATCCCCTGAGGGCTCCCTGGCTGCCAGAAGGATGTTTGACTGCAAGCTTAGGCCTGATCCCCCAGGGAGTGGGCCTAAGTCAACAGGTGGACATCCCCCAAGGGGTTCTGGACTGCAAATGGGTGCAGGCTGGGCTGAGGGACCCCCCCCCCCGAGTGCACAAATTTTTGTGCACCGGTCCTCTAGTATCAGATATTTACATTACGATTCATAACAGTAGCAAAATTACAGTTATGAAGTAGCAACGAAAATAATTTTATGGTTGGGGGTCACCACAACATGAGGAACTGTATTAAAGGGTCTCGGCATTAGGAAGGTTGAGAACCACTGTGAGTGTCTAGGAAATCCCACAATGCGTCTGCCACCAGAACTATGATTCCCAGCATTCCTGGTGCTCCCCTTGCTCTGGGCTTCCACTTCCGGCCAGGGGCTGCCACCAGAACCACGATTCCCAGAATTCCTGGTGCTCCCCACACTCGGTTTTCGTTTCCAGTCCTGGGGCTGCAGAAACACAAAGGACTGGGAACTTCAGCCACCCGCTGGCCGGGCTGAGAGGACCGGACACTCCAGTGGCGTCCCCGGGACCCAGGCTGCTCGGCGCCTGCGCGGGTAGGCTTGGAGCAGCCAGGGGGATGGGAACGCCCACGGCCGCTCGGCGCCTGCATGCATAGGCCTGGAGCGGCTGGCGGGTGAGAACGCCCTCCGTGTCGCACGGCGGGTGTCCCGCCCCGCCCCCGGCTGCTTGGTGCCTGCGTGGGTAGGCCTGGTGTGGCCAGGAGTCGTTCCAGGACTGCGGCTGCTCTGGGCCTACAGGCTCAGAGCGGCCTGGGTCCCGAGGATGCCTGTCTCCGGGATCCAGGCCGCTTGGTGCCAGCGTGCGCGCAAGCAGCCGCCCTGCCCCCAGCCGCTTGGCGCCTGTGTATGCAAATTAACCTGCCATCTTTGTTGGGTTAATTTGCATACTCACTCCTGATTGGCTGGTGGTGTCGCAAAGGTACAGTCAATTTGCATCTTTCTCTTTTATTAGTGTAGATGACTTCTTGATATTATTTGCTAAAAATTATAATTAGTTAAAATCAAAAGGGCAACATAACAAAGGATACAATATTTTATCTACTGAATTATGTTAGAGACCACCTAATTAACATGAACTTCTACACTAACTTGGAATCAAGTTTTCTGGCCATCTCAGTTTAACTGAATATGCTGAGGTTACAAGATAAACTGATTTTAAAAAATTTTTTTGAAACTATTTGTTAAGCCCTAGCCGGTTTGGCTCAGTTGTTAAGTTCACAATTTTCTTGGTAATATGCATTCAAAATATGACATAGGAACATATTAGATGATAAAACTATTAAATTGCAGTTGTCATCTGAAACCTCAAATTTCCATTTTCACTAAAACCCACTGTTTCCATTAATTGATTTCACATTAAGGCAGTATTATTACAGACTTATTTAGTAAGCCTTTAAAGATCAACCATAGTAGATGGGTCCTGAGTTAAGGGGTAATCCTAGATAAAAATTTGGGGTTATAAGGCCCTGGGTCATGACTTTGGTCAGTTCTGCTGAGGCCTTCAATCACATTCCAGAGGTGATAGAAAGCAGAACTAGGAAAAAATGAAGGCTCTGAAGATACAAAGTTGAAAGGTAACTGGACAAGTCTAGTGAGAGGAAAGATAAGCAGGATTTTGGGGTAGTGTGGTTGCAGTAAGTGTATTAAATTGGACTGGCAAGTCACTTTTGGAGATGCTTACTTGGGATCCAAAATGACAAACCTACACTAGTATGTTAGAACTAAATTTCATACTGCTGTATAATATTTAATATCCAGTAAATATACTGGATCAAATGGTGTAAACATTTGGATTATACAGTAAAGCAAAAGTATCATTAGTTAATTCAATATTTACTATACACTAGAAGTCATTTTTGTCAAAGAATCTAGAGAATCATTGTCATACAAATACCTTCTGAACATTCCTTATCTTTTTGATATGCATTCTGAAATGTTTACAGATGAATTTCTGTAAGTCATTTCAAATTAATCTAGAGGATAAAGTAAGGAAAAGTGGATGGGCATACAGATGAAACAATAATTGCCATGAGCTGATGACTACTTTAGTTGGGTGATTCATTGTGCTCTCTCACTTATATATGGAAATTTTCCATAATAAAATTAAAGAAATATCTGATCTAATAAATTAATGATTCTCCTTATTTTCACTTTCTTTTATAGCTTCTTCTTTCATGAATTTGTATTTTTAAAAGATTGCTGCCCTGCCGGTTTGGCTCAGTGGATAGAGCACCGGCCTGTGGACTGAAGGGTCCCAGGTTCAATTCCGGTCAAGGGCATGTACCTTGGTTGCGGGCACATCCCCAGTAGGGGGCGTGCAGGAGGCAGCTGATCGATGTTTCTCTCTCATCGATGTTTCTGACTCTCTATTCCTCTCCCTTTCTCTTTGTAAAAAATCAATAAGATATATTAAAAAAAAAGAATGCTAATTACACTAATTTGTTTAATCATTTTTATCATTCAAATACATACACCAGAGCTTATAGTCAGTCTCCTACTGCAGTCTCTCACTCTATTCATTATTCACTCTTCTATACATCATCTCCAAGTGGTTAATTAGCCTCTATTTGAACATTTCCAGTGAAGAATAAAGTTATTAAGTTCAAGTAAAGTCCATTTTTAAGTCAGAGCTAATTACAGGAATGTTTTTTGTTTTACTAAACTATCCCCTATCAAAAATGTTATATGTGCTCCCAAGTAGTTATGCTTACTGAAACTTCAGTGACCCAACCCTGAGTCATCAATTACATCAGTTGACAGGATTTAAAAATACAATCACTGGTCAACAGTTCTTGGAACTTATCACTGAAGAGTCTACCTTTTAAAATTCACAATGGAAGAGATAACATATTAAGTAAACCATTACATCTCAAACATTGGCTGTAACTCCATACATTTTTGTCTTATGCCCATCAGTCTCAGTGATCTTTAAAGTAAAAAGATAAATAATAATAAAACAATTATTTCACAGTTTCTTACCTTCTGGCAAACGTACTAAGTGATTTCTTCTGAGGTTGAGGTCTCTCAAGGCCTCCAAATTACCAATTTGAGAAGGTATTGTTTGAATTTCATTGCAGCTCACGTCCTATTTCAAAAAAATACAAAATAATTATTTTAAAATTCCAAACTTGCCTGCTTTAAACTATCTGTAAAATGAGGTTGGACAAAATACTTGCAGTCCCTCCTGGTTATAAAAAAAATTATGATTCTGTGTCCAAGAATAATCCCATAGTTTGTAATAGCATTTAATTATAAAAATGTAGTCTTCTGACTGATTCTATACATTTTACATATATCTACATTAATTTTATGAGAATTAAAATTAAATGATTTAAGAAGCAGGTAAGCACAGACTATCAGATCAACAAAAATGCAGGTGAAAAGGTAAAAAAGGAAAAAGTATAAATGCAGCGATGTAGGGCAATATTTTATTTTATATTGTTCTAATAAAGCGAGAAGAAAAAATGATAAAATTATTTGAAAGAATATCCTATTTTCTTTTTTAAAAATAAATATATTTTTATTGATTTCAGAGAGGAAAGGAGGGGGAGAGAGAGTTAGAAACATCAATGCTAAAAGAGAATCACTGATTGGTTGCCTTTGCCTCCTGCACGCTCCACACTGGGGATTGAGCCCATAACCCTGGTTGTTGCCCTTGACTGAAATTGAACCTGGGACCCTTCAGTCCACAGGCCGACGCTCTTCCCACTGAGCCAAACCAGTTAGGGCAAATCATTTACTCGTAAGTGTCCTTGGTTTAGGGGAGATAGGATTTACTAGATGGCTCCAAACTGCTATTTAACCATCACGGTTTCCCTATTCCACTTGTCCTGGCTTACTGGCCTGTGTTATTTCTGATACAGAATTTTTTGACTGGATCCCGGATTCTTTGTCCACCAGAGTCGAAGAATGAACCCACAACAGAAGATGGTATAGCAAAGGTGGAGATATATTGAAGAATAAGTACAGACTCCCACGTGGGGAGGGGAAAAGAGTCTCACAGAACGAACTTCCACGTGGGGAGGGGGGAAGGGTCCCCCTATTTTCAAGCCCTGGCAAGCTAGCTCAGTTGGTTAGAGCATCATCCTGATATGCCAAGGTTGCAGAATCGATCCCTAGTCAGGGCACATACAGAAAGTGTAAGTGGAACAACAAAGCGATCTCTCTCTCTCTCTTAAGTCAATTTAAAAAGTAAAAAATTCCACATACACTTTTAAAAATCCTATTTTTAAAATACCAGTTCAACTGTTCAAAAATCCTATATAATAGAAGGCTAATATGTAAATCGACCGAACAGCGGAACGACCACTCGCTATGATGCACACTGACCACCAGGGGGCAGGCACTCAACACAGGAGCTGCACCCTGGTGGTCAGTGCACTCTCACAGGGGGAGCGTCGCTCACCCAGAAGCTGGGCTCACAGCTGGTGAACGCAGCGGCGGTGGCTGGAGCCTTTCCTGCCTCCAAGGGCTCCCAGACTGCAAGAGGGTGCAGGCCAGGCTGAGGGACACCCCCTCCAAACCAGTGCACGAATTTCGTGCACCGGGCCTCCAGTATAAAATAAAAATACATTGAAGATGACTCATATCATTCCTATCAAACTCAAAGTGAGGAGAAATGACAAAGTACACATAACTCAAAAGGATATGGAAAAATAGATACTGCTTTATTAGAATCTGATCAACCAGGTTCCAATATATGTATTAGGTAGGCCTTCTGGTATCTTGGTAATAGCTTGATTCTGATTCCACTGGTTCTAAAAAGAGATGACTTTAGGTTCCAATCCTGATATGTCCAGGATTCCATAATTCTGAGACCAGCCAGAATAATTTATACACCCATGTGTAGCTGCCTAGGTTAATAAGTGTCAAGATGCCACATTAACACTTAAAATTCCTCCAATATAGGAGTAAAAAATATATTAACAGATTTACTATTAGAAAAGACCACTTATCAAAAAATTCAACAAACTTCAAATATTATTTTTAAATTTTCCCAAATGTTTTTAGAAAAAAAATTTTACTTTTATTTTTCTATCAATTAGTGACAGAAGTAGAATCAGAAGCTAGACTTCTTAGTCTAATACTCTAGGCATAAAAGTTAAAAGAGTTCTAAAAGAAATTGAAAGGGTTGGAAAATTGAGCCTGAGCCAGAGGTAATAGCAATCTATAATATTTCTCTCAGAAAATGTATTTGTTGAAAGATAGTTTACTTTCACTCAGAAACGAGTAAGAACGGTGCAGAAAGACCATCAAGTATGAATTAGTAAGTTTAAGATTACTAATTGTTAAACCGGTTTGGCTCAGTGGATAGAGCGTCGGCCTTCGGACTGAAGGGTCCCAGGTTCAATTCCGGTCAGGGGCATGTACCTGGGTTGCGGGCACATCCCCAGTAGGAGATGTGCAGGAGGCAGCTGATCGATGTTTCTCTCTCATCAATGTTTCCAACTCTCTATCTCTCTCCCTTCCTCTCTGTAAAAAATCATTAAAATATATTTAAAAAAAAAATAAAATAAAATAAAATAAATAAAAAAAAAAAGATTACTAATTGTTACTCTGCCACAAGCTGTCTGTGTAATAGCATATCAACTCACCTCTCTGGTAGAAATCTAAAAGTACCTTTTGCAAGACATATCTATATTTTAAGTACTGAGGATTCAATAAGCAGAAAAAGAAAGTTTAAAAGATTTGAAAGTCAGAATTTCAATCATGAGTATAACTTACTATTAGTTCATGTTATTAACCCAAGCTCTGAAGAAATGCAAACAAACACATTTTTGAACTATTTCCTAGATCTAATTGGCTCTAAATAAATAGTGGTCTAGTATCTAGATCAGGGGTGGGCAAACTTTTTGACTCGAGGGCCACAATGGGTTCTTAAACTGGACCGGAGGGCCGGAACAAAAGCATGGATGGAGTGTTTGTGTGAACTAATATAAATTCAAAGTAAACATCATTACATAAAAGGGTACGGTCTTTTTTTTTTTTTAGTTTTATTCATTTCAAATGGGCCGGATTCCGGCCCGCGGGCCGTAGTTTGCCCACGGCTGATCTAGATACTAGCTTTAATATATTTGTGAATTTTTACGTGACCTTTCTATTCACAATCTACCTGAAAAAGTCAGCTAATATGTGGTCCAATTAGAGTATATGTGTACAGTGTTTGTTTTTTGTGAAGTTCATCTTTTTTTTTTTTTTTTTTTAAATATTTTATTGATTTTTTACAGAGAGGAAGGGAGAGAGATAGAGAGTTAGAAACATCGATGAGAGAGAAACATCCATCAGCTGCCTCCTGCACATCTCCCACTGGGGATGTGCCCGCAACCCAGGTACATGCCCTTGACCGGAATCGAACCTGAGCCCTTTCGGTCCGCAGGCCGACGCTCTATCCACTGAGCCAAACCGG